TGTTTGACAAAGCAAATGACCTCAAACAAGTGACACCGAATAGCGAGATGCTACGTTATTGCAACGTAGGTGAACGAGATGCACTCGCATCAATTACGAGTTTGACGGCAGCTGTAGCTGATCCGTTTATACCAAGGCTATAGAACGTTTATACATAGTGTTCGGCGGTGTCCCTGGGTTTAGGTAAGTTGAGGTAGAAGAACAGCAAATTTCCAGCCAGTTTCTGAGCTCTTCTCGGGTTTTGACGTTACATCTCAAAGCCAAATCTTTGCAGTTCACGTGGATGTTCAAAATGCATGAAGATTCTTTTTTTCCGAAAAAAACATCCTTTTCCATCGAACACCACAGGTGCAGAAACAACACTACCCACAAATCCAACACGAATTACAGTCTAACAGGTCTAACACCATCACGGTCAAATTCAACACCCAGCGCACCGACTCGCTCTATCGTCTGGAGGAAGATAGGCCCCCCTTGCACGGAGACACAAGTCAAAATCGTTTTCAAGTGATTCTAAATGGTCCGCACTCCGCACTCCGCAGACCATCAATATCGAATATGAATCTCAATCTAAATACGTTACCAAGATTATAGACATATTCGTCCAAGGAGACTGCGAATTCGGGATGAGTCTCCGTGCAAGTGGGGCCTATCGTCATACAGACGATGGATTGAGTCAGCGCACCCAACAAACGTCAGCAATAGCCCCCTTGAATTCGCGCCTTAGGTCCGCGCTTGGATAACTAACAAGGTAATCATCCATGGTCCGCGTGTGGTTCGTGCATAGACTCGTATATTGTCCTCGTAAGTTTCCTTAAAGGGACCCTCCCACCTTAAAAAAAGTTAATGAATTGGCATGAAAGTGATGTCGCTCGGTTCAGAAAGAGCAAAAACGAATATCTACCAAATTTCATCGAAAAATATTCACCGGTTTTCAAGATATTTGACTTTTACTTTTGTTTACTTTTTGGGATCTCCGCTGTTCCTAGCGACTTTATTTGAAAGTGCGGCATTTGTTGCGCGCAAAGCAGCATATACCACCGCGTGCTACAAAACGTTTTAGTCAAACATTTACGGACGTTCGAAAGCCTGATGACGTCATCAAATTCCCGTAATGGTTAAGAGATAGGGACCACTCTGGTCCCACCCTGCAAGTAAAGGGAAGAAATTTCTTGAACACCATAAAGCTGCGGGGGTTGCGACCAGGATAAATGGTGGTTTCTGAGCCTGGCCGCAAACTTGGCTATCTCAACTCAAAACTAATGTTAAGGTGGGAGGGTCCCTTTAACCTGTATCTGGAGTAGCGAATAGACCCCACCTCGTCTAACTATTGCTTGGCTGATAGATGTGACGTCACATAACCCGCACGCCAATGAGCGTGGCGTCAGGCTATGACGTCATCTCCCGCGACAACCAGCCACTCAGCGCTGGAGGTGCGTAGCGTGTAGCATTATTGGGAATTTGCAGCCGGCCGCCGGCTCACCGACCGCAGCCGGGCCGGCTCACCGACCGCAGCCGGGCCGGCTCACCGACCGCAGCCGGGCCGGCTCACCAAACAGTGATAGCTGAGTTTTTATTAGCCAATCAATGTGGATACCCTCGCCGTCGCCACCGCTACTGGGTAATTACTTACCATCCAGTAAGTCTGTCTGTCTGTCTGTCTGTCTGTCGTCTGTCTGTTTGTCCGTGTCTGTCTGTCATGTACTGTCATGTCTGTCTGTTTGTCTGTGTCTGTCTGTCATGTACTGTCATGGCTGTCCTGTCTGCCCTGTCTGTCCGTCCGTCTGTCTGTCTGGCTGTTTTACTTTTTAGGCCGCCCGCCATGAACCCAACTTAATATGCGCCACAAGGTCGTCCAGCTGGCGCACAACGGCGTGGTCCGGCCGTTCGACTCCATCCGCCAGTGCGTGTTGGCCACGGCCGCGTCTGCGAGACGCTCAGCAGGTAAGCCAACAGGTGTTCAGCAGACAAATCAGAATGTATCTGTATAGGCATACAAATGTCTGGCTCGTTTTTTCAAAGCCGAAATAATCCAAATTCATGCTGGTGTGTTTTAACCCTCGCCGGACCTATTGGTTTTCTACATACGCGCCGCCCGACCCGCCCCCCCTCACCGTTTCGCCCCTGGTGGAGCTAGCGCGTCGCAGAAAAAACGAGCGGGTGCGCCGTTACGAGACGCAGAGATTGGTAGCCGATTTTAAGGTCCTAGGTCAACCGGTGACCTCTGAGGTAAGGTCAAGTGCCCCAAGGTACGGTTCAGTTTTTGGTGAATAACTTCGCAAAAAACGGCCGCAGAGCCGCGATTTTGGCAGCATCGTGTTCGCCTCGCTCAGGCGCGTCGAATGATATACTTTTTGTTCGGGTCAGGTCAACTTGGGGTGTTGACCTCAGGTCAAGGTCAGGTCAGCACCCCGGGTCACGAAGTTGGTCGAAAGAGGTCATGTCGCATATCATTCGATTCGGCAGGTCTTCCTGAGTCCATTGGTGGCTTTCCCGACTCTCTAGCCCAATTTGATCAAGAGTTATTGACGAAAAACTAATATGACCTTGATGACGTCATAAATGACGTCACGCAAGGTCAACATTGCAGAAGTGACGCATCTAACCTTGCAAGGAGTGCATCAAATCACGATTATGTGTGCTTGAGATAGTTGGAGATCTTCCCGGCGCCAGAGTAGCAGTTTTCATTTTTCCCCATTGACTTATAATGGTGAGGTCACGAAGATGACCTGACATCATCTGACCTTTAGGAAAAATCCGAGATATACAAGTTGTGAGACTCAAATGGATACTAGATCCTGCAAGTTTCATTTCCCTGTGACATCTCCTCTGGCAGTGAGGGCGTTGCGAAGTTGCGACATCTGAAGACCGTGCAGAGGTTCACTTATGATGTCATAGGTCAGTGACCTGACCTGACCCAAAAATGCAGTTGGTGTCAAAAGATCCGGCTTGAATCAAAGGTCAGGTATGCCAAGTTTCAGCTCTCTATCGCCAGCGTGTTTGGAGCTATCGCGAAAAAAAACCTATGGGGGGGGGGGCGGCGGCACCCGCCCCCCCCCCCCTCGGTCGGCGAGGGTTAAGTCTATGTTTCTAGTTATTTAACACCAGCCATTCCTGAGATCTGGAAGCGGCATTCTGCACGTGCACACGTACAAACGGGGTCCAAACTGACTTTTGCACGGCACCCTACCAACCGGTCCCCAACCCTGTACCAAATTTGAGCGCAATCGGCCCAGCCGTTCTCGAGATCTGGAAGCGCCCCCTGCACGTGCACACGTGCAGTAGCATCCTAACCGCAACACATGGGAATGCATTGCCTGTTGGGTGTCTACTTGTCAGGGCATATTTTAAGGCACTTACTGCGTCCCATTCTGGGACGCAGCCCCCTCGCCTTGGGACGTAGCCCCTGCTGATTTGACCCTCTGCGTCCCTGCCCTATGCCCTGTCCGGTTCCCTGACCTGTGCCCTGCTGTGTGCCCTGACCTGCACCCTTCCCTCTAAAATGTCCTGTGCCGTGCCCTGTAACCTGCCGTGCTCTACTTTCTGCCCTCCTCAGTGCCGTACTCTGTTCCTTGCCCTGTGCCCTTAGTCGTAGCACGTGCCCTCTGCTCAACTTTGGGACGCAGTAAAAATTTGTTAAAATATGCCCTGCTACTTGTATGCAAAGTTTCAGCGAAATCGCTCTAGTAATTACCGGGGTATTGAAATGGGAACAAATTTAGCACCTCTTCTTTTTGCATTTTGCACGTGCAGTGGGGGCCACTCACATAGATCAAGAGTATCCGACCTTTGGAAGAAGGGATGCAGCGTCCTTACAAAAATTACCGCAAGACAATCGCCCAAGCGGCTGCTAAGATTCGAGCCTCTCAAAATCACTACTTTTGCAAAACAGCTTGAACACCGTTGACCTTTTACGTGGCACGTGCCACGACGGTCACTGAGATGTATCAAAAGTAGGCAATTACGGGGAAGAAGGGATGGGGCTACCCAGCAAAAAAAAAAAAAAAAAAACGCGGGCCAATCGGTCCAGCGGTTGCTGAGATATAAGCCTCTCAAAAGCGTTACAGGCCGGGCCGGGCCGCTCATGCTGAGATTTTTCCGTTGTATTGAAAAGACTTCGCTCCGCTCGCTCGTAATAACTAGGACTTTTAAATGTTAACCCGCGCCCCGTTGAGGTCTGGCAGGGTCCACGTCCTGTTGGGGGGGGGGGCGAAGGGCCCCCCGTCGTATCTCCGGAACCAATAGCCGGATCGGAAAATTCAAACGGCATTCGAAAGAGCTCATCGAGATGCACAAGATAGGATATCGATGACCTTGATATTTGACCTGTGACGTCACAGGGAGGTCAAACAAAGTCAGATCAGTCCAATTTTCAATGACGAGAAGTCGGTCATGAAAATGAAATCTTAAGTTTCCAAATTTTTCTCTGTGAACAATTTAATTCGACGAAAAATCGCCGAACATGACCTCAGTTTGACCTCTAAAGCTCGTGACCTGAGATGACCTGGGCCTAATTTTTTTTTAGGCATTGTGTAAAATTGATGTCCGGAGAAGTAATGAAAGTTTCAAGTCGAAATTGGCAGCCGCTTCTGAGTTATCTGCGATAAACCACAGGGGGCCCTTTGCCCCCCCCCCCAACGGGTCGCGGGTTTACTAACAGAATCACCGTTTCAGCCGTTAGAGGCCTGGATTACCAGATCCTGCAGACTAGTGTGCTGTTATATGGCAGCACTTGGGCGGCCAGCGACAGCAGCTGCTGCCGAGGATCACGGTAAGAGGTCCGGGGGGCTGCCGTATCTGACCGGACTGGGCGCGGCTGCTTCGAATAATGGTAAAAATCTGGGTCTGTCATACCTCACCATCTGTTTTAGCTGCTTAAAACCCGTTGGGTTAGAAACTACGTCATTGTCCCAAGCAATGCTGCCGCATTGCGTCCCCGTTTTGAAAAAGTACTGGCCGGAATTTCCGTGCGCGTCAGCCCTCTCCACTCAGACACCGCCTCACTCTCGGTGTGTTTACTGCCGAAGGAATAGCGTACAAAACAAGACACGGCGCATAGCTACCGCAGACGAGGCGAACACGTCGGCTTTTCTGTCTCATCACATAAGAGGGACGGCAGCGCGGTAACAGAACGCCGCCGGGCAGCCCCCACAGCCCGCGGCCGCGGCAGCCGCCCAGACAAACTCGTGCTTCCACCGGGCGCAGTGGAATTGAGATCAAGCGACAACCACATCACGTCCGAAGGGTTAGTGTCCACCGCGGGTGTTCGCAACAGTTGTCCAGATGGCAGCACTATAGCGGGGGCCGGCCGTTGGCAGTACCAAAACACCGGATCGGCAACCTACGGCTGCACAGCAAGACCGCACACGTCAGCGCAACGGCGAGTATCAACGGCGGGATGGGTCCGACGGGGACAGCGAGTGCAGGGGTGCAGCGGCGCGGCCAGCCGGCTCAGCACGGCACGACCGAACCAGCCGCGGCCGGCAGACAGGAAAATAGTCGGGAGCTCCGTGAAGGCACACCAGTGTTCCTCTCGAATATTGTGGATGGGTGTGAGAGGGGCAATGAGGGGGAGGCGGGCCGTCGGCGGCCGCGTGGCGCACGCTCACTCCCGGGCTGCGTTGGCACGTGACGTGTGTGTCTGGTCTGTCCTCCGGGCAGCACGCGCTGAAAGACGCACATGGTCTCCGGCGGTGCGGCGCTGCTGATGCAGAGCGGCGGACGGCGCCCTCCGACAAAATATTTGAACATCGGTTCAAGGCACTGGGAGTCGTATGTACAGCGGCCAGCGACAGGTGGCCCTCGCCGGAACACATAGAACCACTGGGTGGCCTTCGCCGGGACACATAGAACCACCGAATGGCGCACAAAGGTGCCAGCGACCGCCGACGCGGCCACTCACAGACACCCCGCGGGCGGACGCGCGGCGCGCCGACGGTAAATAACGCTCTCACTAGGACACACTAATGCAACCACTCACAAATAACAACGGCTCATAAGCATCACGGCACTCCGGCGCCGCGCGGCTGGCGGGCTGGCCGGCAGCCTCGGCCACGGGGCCGCCTCACGAGATCAGGGCCGGCGTCAGTCCTTGACGAGCCGGTAGATGTGGTGCTGCGCGCCATGCTCCGAAGTCGACACCTCAAACACGAAGGCGATGCACAGCAGCGTCTCCTGTGTGTCCCGGTTGGTCACCACCTGTCCGAACCGAGGGGAGTCAGTCACCGCCTGTCCGACCGGGGGAGTCAGTCACCCTGAACCGAGGGGAGTCAGTCACCGACTGTCTGAACCGAGGGGAGTCAGTCACCGACTGTCTGAACCGAGGGGAGTCAGTCACCGACTGCCCGAACCGAGGGGAGTCAGTCACCCGTCCCAGTCACCGATAATGTACCCGCCCCCATACCTCCCCACCGAGCGGCTGCCGCACCCACCTGGAGTATTGTGAAGTTCTCCAGCACACTGTTCATCATGTACTTCTCCGGCAGGTGCTTCAGCTTGTGGATGAAGTTGACCATGTACTCGCACATCGGAGACCGGTTAATCCGGTAGAAGAACCGGCCATTCTCAAACCTGCCGGGGCGGGGCGGTGGTTGGGCCGTCAGACACAGACTAGCTACTATTCCCCGCACACACAGCCGAGCCAGGTTAGCGCGTCTGAACCAAGCGAGCAGTGATTCGGCTCCGCTAAGAGCTCTGACAGGAGGGACGCAGTTCAAACGGGGTCCGGTAACAGCCACGTACCAAACAAGGTGAGCCATCACCAAACGAGACTGTGAGCCATCACCAAACGAGACTGCCAGACGGCAGACGGGGCACAGAGCCGGCACACCAGCCGGGTCGACTCTGCCAGATAAGCCGGGAAGCCCCCCCCCCCTCCTGAGACCCCGTGCCCCTCCGCCGGCGGGTCGAGTGCGGCTCGTGCTCTCACCTGGCGTACTCGGTCTCCACCTTTTCCACCACCTGTTTGCCGAAGCTGCACACCTTGGTGGAGCACGTGATGGTCATGTTCTCCGGCGACTCGTACTGGCTGGTGACGCCGTAGAACGCGCCGCTCGCGTCCTGAGACGGAGGTCACAGACCACCAGGTCAGGCGAAAGGTCAACAGGGCGCGGGCGGCCTCAACAGCGGCGTCACAGCACACCCGAGGCCGGGCCATCACATGGTATACAGCGGAGCTGGTATACCAACTCGCAGCCAAAGGAGGGCAAAAATGGACTTCACAACGAACTTCGTTAGGTAGTTGATAATGAACGACTGGTCCATGCTGCAGTGCAAAGGCAAAAAACTATTGCCTTTTGACCTGACGCAATGACCTCTGAGCTCACGTAATCGTCTTTGCCTTTGCATGGCCCTTTGATCCAGAAAAGTATGGTGTACAGAGGTGACTCTGTGGAACGACCTAACGAACTTTGTAGAATAAGTCTATTGTTAGCTTTTCTATAATTTGAACTTCACATTGTACTTTCAGGGACATCATGGATCATTGCGAGAGAAGTATAAAAACATATAAAACCTGTCAGATACTATTCCAACATGTGCTGCACGTGCCATGAGCGATACCATGACAGCCGTGCATCAACACACAATATCACAAGGCATCTATCACCCACCGCTAGCCCTCCCAGCGTCCGTGCCGCTGACCCACCTGTATGCTGGTGTTGAGGTCGGCCCAGAACTTGACCAGGAAGAAGGCGTTGGCTGGCCCTTTGTCGTATAGCTCGCGCAGGCCTCCTTTTTTGTCGGGGAACTTGTCGTAGATCTGTGTGATGCCGATGGCCTCCAGCGGCTCGTACGAGACCGGGCCGCCGATGTGCACAAACAGGTGTTTGTTGTACTGCCGGACAGAGAGAAAGAGGAGCCGCGGCTCAGACCGAGTCGTGCCACGGGCTACCGGGTGGTCCGAGGAGTACCGGTACGGCACGGGGCCTCGTCCGTCCGACCCGGCTGCCAGTTCCGGGGCCACCCGCCGCTCCAGCTACCCACCCGCCGCCGGCCGCTCCGCAGGCCCGGCCAGCGGCCCGACTCACCATGTCTGCCACGGCGTCATGCTCGCGGGTCTGTGGCGCCGCCTCCATGAAGGCCGAGTACTCGACGAGGCGCAGTTTCTGCGTGGCGATGCTGCGCCCCTCCCAGGCGGGCGCCGGCGGCTGCGGCTGGCCCAGCAGGGACATGTCGGCAGCGCTGGACGGCGGCCGGCCGGCCACGCCGTACGGCGACTGCGCGAACGGCTTCACGCTGCCGGCGGTGGGACGGCCGTCAGAGGGGTGTCCGCGGGGCACCCATCGCGGGGAGAAGGGCACACCCCTCACCCAGTGGGCACCCACCGCGGGGGCGGACACCGTCCAACAGGACAGCGACCACGCTGAGTACAGTTCAACGCATGTGGACACGAGGACTCAAAACATCACCTACTATACCGGGGAAAGGCTAGTCATTGCGCTTCCTACAAATATCTCCGTTTCCAGCCAAACAAGCGCTGGCTGCATTGGAGCCGCCGGCCATTTTCGCCCGTCGCTCGGCTGCCGACTCACTCCTGCGCCATGCCCTGGAGTCCGGTCTGCCAGAGGCCCGCCGGGCCCGGGTAGCCGCCCGCCGTCAGGCCGAACCCGCCGCCGCCGGCGCCGCCCGACGCCTTGTGCGGCATGCTGGACGCCGAGACGATCTGCGCCGACGTCATGGCCGACACCGAGTGGAGCGCCTTCTCCTTGGCGTGGTGGTCCTGGAGCGCACCCAGCGGCCCCGAGTTCTGTAGGAGACGCACGGCACCCACGCCGGATGGGTCAGCCAACATTGCCATACACAGGGTACATATATATTATATATGCATACACGCTTCCGGTATGGTTTGCAAGTGCTGACGCTCTCGACCACTCAGAACAAAACATGATTTTGTGCGCTCGAAATAAAAGTATGGGAGATGACAGACGCGTGACATTTCAAGTTATTTATGTATGATATAGTTATGTAGTCAGTGTCGGGCCGGCGCCGAGTGCAACCACCGCCTCTGCTCCCCGCCGCGCCAGATCCGCTCACCTTGATCTTGGTCTGGATCTCCCTGAGCTTCCTCCTGGCCAGCACCTGGATGTGCGAGCTGACCTGCTTGCGCGTCCGACATTTGCCCGTGCGCAGCTTGATGTAGCGGGCGATCAGTTCGTTCCGACCTGCGGACGGGGGGCTGCCGTTAGTCTGCTCTGGTCACTCACTGATTCACACACACGGTCCGAGCCGAACCAGCGGGAACCGGGGAAGACGGACTCGACCTAACTGACGCCTCAGGTGCCGACAGCAGTGTTACGGTCAGGCAGGGTGACTGGCCACTATGTAGAGGAGGTAGCTGCTGCCTTTTCCCACCTGAAGCCGGCGCCGGCCAGCGGGGCTCACCGGCAGGCCGCCACCTGCTCTCTCAGGTCACTGTTGGGCCGGGCCCGATTGACGCTGGGTGGCCGAGGTGGGGCAGTGGGGGGTCGGGGGGGGGGGGTCGCAGACCAAGGCGGCGCGCTCATGCCGCCCCATGCCCGTTTCAGTACCAGTTTCAGCAGTCAGATGAACTTGTTCGAAGCTCACTCGGTCTCGGACCGGGTTCGGTGGCAATGCCCAGCCGATTGACGACAGAATCAGACCGACACGTTGGCGCGTCCAGTCACATCGCAAAAAACCGGCCACCAGACACGCGCCAGACCAGCAAAAAGCGGGCGGCGCCGGCAGACGGTCGGTCCGGTCCGGCGGCCGGACACGGCGAGGGACGGAGGCGGTGGTCGCACAGCTGACCGGCCGGCACGTCCCGCGACAGCAGGCCCCGGCCGGCCGGTCCCGGCACCGCCGCGCTCCTGAGCGGATGGACAGAGCCGTGTCACAGCACTCGGACGGCTGCTAAATGTCACCGCGATCATTAGCGAAACCCTCAGGCAGCATGCCGACAGGATTACCTATCTGGCAGAACCCCTATCGTATGGCCGGCTGACTGTGCTGTGCCTGCATCGCCAAGGGCAAATTATGCAAGCCTGCATGAACACGTACGTAACCTTCCCACAACATTCTCCGGTGCTGATGTCTAAATTCAATATTCCTTAGATCGCCAGCATATATATGCACTTGAAATTAGACAAATACTCTCAGCTTCGGAATGCCTTATTCCACTCCACAAGCGTAATGACTAATTAGGATCGCTGGCAGCGTGTGCGAGGGAGGGTCGTCCGCCGCCATCGGTACGGAACTGATGGGCAGCCGGGCCCGGCCACAGGAAGCCTCTGAGCAACTCTGAGGAAGACGGAAGCCCACATCAATCCAGCAGGCGATGGAGAATCAGCGGCGACTGATTACCTGGCCCCACCAGTCTCCACTTTGTGTAGAGTGCGGTCACATGACTGGGACAGAGGTCACAGAGTATCCTGCAGGTGACCCTAGTCGAACAGTCTCAGGGGCTCCGCCACGGTTTTGGGATTGGGGGGGGTCCGACCAAAAACACAAAACCTCGCTGGCGGATCCAAGGTGGGCATTTTGGGCTAATTCACCCCCACCCCTACCCCCCACCCCCACTCCCACCCCACCCCCCTGCAGCTCCCGAAATCGATGAAAAATTGCCGTTTTTTCTAGAGTTCAAAGGAAACTTAACAATTCTATCGGGAGGATTTTGCTTTATGAACCGAAAAAAACAAGGTTCAGTTTGCAAGAGGAGTCGAAAACCGAGAAGCGGAGCTCAATGACACCGACATGGCGGCCTCTCAAATCAACGTTCTTAAGGAAAGGAGGCCGCTGTTGTGCGCTCCAAGGGCGGTGTTAGCCATCAGACAACGCATTAGGCTCTCAGACTAGTATGGTGCTCGAAAGACCGGCTTACCCCCCCCCCCCCCACACACACACTATCGGGTGATCTCACATGGAAAGAGGGTTCTCAGATCGATTTGAAGCTCTTTTGGGGCGGGTGTTGTGTCTAGGAGGTGTCCTGCAAGCTGGACCCCTCTCACGAAATTATTGCCAAATTCTAGCATGCTAAGTTAATCCTAGCAATCTTAAACGCATTCATAGTAATAACAAAATGGTAGAATAATGACACTCCCATAAATATAGGTCGGCGATTGTTGAGCACTTCGTGTGTCACAACATCTTCGTGTTTCCCTACATTTCTAGATCTTAAATTCCTTAGCTTTGCGACCATCAACACATTCTTTGCGACCATCAACCTAATTAAATTATTCAACACATTCTGTGAATGATTTAGTCATTCTAACGCAAAACAAGGTTACAGGTAGGGTAAGGTGCCTAATTAGCGACCCTTTCCGATTTGCGACCTACCTCCCTACAGAAAAACTGGCGGGAGAAAACGGGGCAAAAACAGCGTCAAAAGGTCAGCCATACTTTGGTTATCAGAGTAAATTATTTTACGGTTGTCGATGTTTCTGGTGGGACGTTTCAGGTGAGTTTACATAAAAATGACGAGTTTCTTATCCAAAACGTGTGTGTTTGGGCCCTCTCTGATGAAAAGCGATGTACATTAGGATGATGCACCTTTTTTATTCTGAATCGACATTCCTTTTTCAATTGATTGCCGTTTTCCCATAGTGAATCGCTTAACCCTATTAGTGGCAGGCTCCTGGCTACCCCATATTAGTGGCAGGGGGGGCTGTTTACGACCCCCCTTGATATCTCGAGATCTAACCGGCCGATTTTCAAAATTCAAACGGCATTCGATTTGGCTCAACGAGATCTACATTTCTAAAAAAAAAATAAAATTAAAAAATGTCAATAGGGGGGTAGAGGGGGGTAAAAACGGGCAAATTGCAGATACATTTTAGACTGTTTATCACGGCCAGGTTTCTGAACCAATCTTAACGCAACTTTTGCCGATCGATAGAGAATGAACCAGGAATTCACATGGATCCTAAAAGTATGCATTTTCAAAAATCATAGGCGGATACAGATCATTGAGATTGGGGGTACACAAAAAGTATAGTAAATAAGGTTTTTGTTGGTACTAATTCTAAAAAGGGTGGCAATGGTCTTGTTATGTTACAATTTTCTTATGAGAGAACGACTAAAATTGTATTGGTCATGCATAGGCGGTGTCAGGGCACCTATGTTGGGAGGTAAAAAATAACCCCCCTTTTTGGACGCCTGGATCCGCCTATTATAGCAAAAACGTGTCAAAAGAGGATGCACAATAACTTTGTATATGTTATCACATGATACCTTTCATTCACTGTTCGTAAAACTGGTGCAGCATCGTGATCTTCGCCCAAATGACTCGCTTCACGAATAGGACCCCCAATTCCCAGTGCTCTGGAGCCGCCCCTGGTAAAGTTATGAACTTGAAATTTTTAGGGAATGTGCCCAATTTAGTTTTGGGAAAAGTCAGAAAATTTCAGCATCGTAGCTTCAGCGGTTTCGGAGATATTCCCGAAAAACCTGAGGGGTGGATAAAAACAACCCCCCCCTGCCACTAATAGGGTTAACTGTGCACAGCATGGCGGTTAAAAATGTGTCGCAACTCATATTTCCTATTTGCGCCTGACATGGTCGCAAATAGCTCAAGAAGGGAAAGAAAGGGGAAAAGAGAGAAATTAAAATGAGGTGTTGCTGAAGCTTGCAATGTGTGGCAGGGGATGTCAAATGTCGTCACCGACTGCAGGGGTGCCGAATTCAGCGCGGACCTCGAATATCATACGAGATAGCCCGCAAAATTTGGGTTTCCGCCTTCTTTTCGCCTTCGGTGCATCACGTGATCAGTTTTTACTTACGTAAATGTTTTGGATAAACGTTCCTGTTCGAGTGATTGAGTGCTTTGCGTATAGGTTACCTTTTTTAGATCATATTTCATCTTTTCAGGCGTCGCATTTTTTGCAATTTTTAATATGGGGAAACCCATAGACTTATTAGCGACCCTCCCCGGTCGCTAATCGGGAAGAGTTCCCTATTAGCGTTTTTTGCAATGGTTTGCCAAAATGCTCACTACAAATAAGTTAGTGAATATTGGGACAGAAAATGACTATATTTTAATAGAAAAATGAACGACCTCTCCGAAAATCAAGCCAGTAATACAGTGGCACCCACAGAGCGTGAGCAATGACGGTTCAAATTAAGGGGGTCGCTAATTAGGCACCTTACCCTATTCGGAATATTGGGGGGTACTGTACCCCCACGGGAATTATTGAGGGGGTCCGGACCCCCGCGTACCCCCCTGTGGCGGAGCCCCTGAACAGTCTAGATGGGGGCCCAACATGCCACATAGCCGCGTCGCCCGGTCCGGCGACCTATCTACGCGCGGAGATGACCCGTCGGCCGGGGCACAGCGCCAGAGGAGGACAGGCGGACGCCGGCCCAGGCTCAGTGCTCCATTAGCGTGGCTGCCGGCCCGGCGATAACCGCCGGACGGCCGCGCCACCCCTAATCAGACGGCCATCTCGGCCCAGCGGCGGCCATTACTGACCGGGCCGTGTGCCGTCCGGCGGCCCAGGAGTCACGGACCGGACCCGTGTGCCGTCCGACGTGCCGCCGCCCCAGCGCTGACGGACGCGACGGAGGAGAAACCCTCTCCCCAGTTGCCGCCGACACCACTCATTCCCAGGGCCACACTAACTGCAAACGCCGAGCGGCGCAGGAGCGCGAGGCACGCGCCGGTCGGCGGTGCGGTGCGTCGGTCCCCACGCAGTAAACCATCTCGGCCGCCGGGACAGGCGCCTGGTTGCTGCGGCGCGCCGGTGGCCGTCGTCGCGGTGCGCGCCTGCCTCCGACCATTCCTGAGCCGCCGCTGGCTCGGCGCATAGACGCGCTTCCGGCGTAACCGGCGGACAGCCGGGTCTCAGAGCCGCCCTGCTCCGCCGTACGTAACGAACGCAGTCCAGGTGCAGCGCCGGACTCAGTGCCGCGGCGAGCGGAACTACACACCCGGCTGGGCCGCCGTGGCCTGGGAAGGAAGCGCCGCGTAGTCGGCACCGGCACCCAAAGCCGCCCCCGAGTGAACTTGGTCGGCGGGCGGCTGCCGTGCTGGGCCCGACCTCTGGCGCCCGGCCAAATAGCACCGGCGGCCGCCGGCACCGCCGCCCACCCAGCCCCGCCCGCCGGACACACACGCGCCAGCGCCCCGGCGACCGGTGACGTCACCGGCCAAAAACGCCGCTCCGCCGCCACTGCGGCCTTGACAGAGACGTCGGCCGCGGCGAACATCAACAGCACGCCGCAGCCGCCGGCACCGCGCTTACCAACAGCCGGCTACGCACGGCCGGCCACAGCCCCACAGGGACTCACACGGGACCGGCTGACGGCAGCCGGGCCGGCGATCGGGCCAGTGCGGCGGCGCTGGTGGTGGTTCGACGACGGACAGACGGATCAACACTGGACCCGGCGGCCGCTGCCACCAATCCGAGCTGACCCGCCGGCACGCCGCCATCCTAACAGGGGCTTAGCGCACGGTCAGCCGACTGGCCTGCTTCGTCTCGAGACCTCCCCGTATCCCTTACCTATTCCAAATGTCCACAGCTCTCCCAAAGTTTCTCAGCAGGCAACTCAGGGCGGACGCTGGCAGGGGCCCAGAGCTGCGGCAGCCCGCCAGTTCCGTCGGTCCGCCGGCCCCGCCGTCAGTGGTCGCACGTGCCCGCACACCGAGCCGGCCGGCGACATCACACGCCACCTCCCACCGGAGCACAGTCCGACGACACCAGACCGGGACCGGACCAGCACCAGTGGCTACACGGACCGGACCAGCGCCAGTGGCTACACGGACCGGACCAGACCAGCACTAGTGGCTACACGGACCCAATACCCCACCCCAGCCGACCGCAGGCTCCTCGAGCTGACGGTGGCCGGTCCATGCCGCCCCGGCACCCGTCCCAAACTCACCGTACATCTTGCCCTCGTCGCTGAGGATGATCTTCCGCCGGCCGCACGGAGGGTAGATGGACAGCGCCTCGTGGAACGACTGCTCGATGTCTGGACTCCATACGCCTTCGGCGTCGTTCGGGTCCGAGTTCTTGTCGTCCATGTAGTCATCCTGAGCATGGGGAGGGGAGGGAGCACAAGTTAGGTGGGGCAGTAAACAGGTACGGTACAGTGAAAAAGTACGGCCACGGTAAAGTAGAGTAAACCGGCCTAAACAGAGCTGAGCCCTGCTCGGCGGCTGTATGTTCGCCTGTTGGGACCGCCAGACCTGTCTCTGTCCTCGTGTGTAAACACTTGTCTGGTTCGTGCCAAGCCGCCGTCGCTCGGCGGCTAACCAGGCCCTGAGGGCCGGGGGTCGGGCCGCCGGCGGCGGCTCGTCAGCACACGACGTGCGGTCTGCACTGGGCAGCACGTACAAACACCACCAGCCCGTGTGTCTGCGTTCAGCGGCGAGGACACTTGCAGTGAAAGGTAACTAAAGTCGGAAGAAAAATCACAAAATTACATACACACTGTCACCGGGGTACGGATTAATGCTGCCAGGACATGACATGTGGCGTGCTTAACTTTTGTGATCTCCATTCTTATCTATCCCCACACAAAAAGGGCTTAATGCGCCGTCTTCTGCGAACAAATTTACATGTTGACGAAACTTAATACGCCCTTTGGGGAGCGTCGTCGCTGGCCGCCAACTCGGCGTCGGGGTCGCCGCCACTAATTGGCCGCCCAAAGCGGGGCCGCCAGATTTACCGTTCAGATGCGGGGCGCATCCTGGACGGGTGTTTACTCCTCTAGACAGCAGGCCAGACACCCGGTACCGGCCAGGGAGCCAGACACCCACCCGGTACTGGTCAATGAGCCGGCCCGGGTGTCAGAGGCGGGTCAACGTACCAGCCCGGTGAAGACGCTCTCACTGCCCTGCTGACAACCTGGCGGTCCGTGCGGGGCTCCGCAGGGCCTCCTCTAAGGAATTTCCACTGGGGGGGGGGGGGGGCAGAGGCTCAGAAGCCAAACCTAAGGTACCCCCAAATCCGGATTTCTCATCGGATTTAGGCCACTTATTTTTCGTCACAGCCCTGATGCCATGATTTTTATTTTTATTTTGAAAAAAATAAAGAAATAGTAGGCCACCTGACCCTATACCGGTGGATCCAGACCGGCACGGGCAGGGTGACATTTGGGGTAAATATTCCCCGCAGCGTCCGAAACCGAAATCGACGAAAATTTCCGGCTTTCCGAAAATGAAAAAAAATGCCTTTATTAAAAAAGTATTTAACCCGCGCACCGACGGGGGTCTGCGCCAACTTCGTACCGACGGGGGGGGGGGGGGGGCGGATGACCGTCCCCCCCCTGAGATCTCGAGAACGAAGCAAGATAGCGACAAGCGGTAAACGGCATCGGATACGCACGGACAAGGTCTACAATTTTTACAAAGGTCATTTTCAGGTCAGGTCAAAGATGACGTCACAGGGGTCGAAAAAGTCAAAATGGCGGCGCTAGATATGGGGAGAGTTTTTCTCGAATAACTTTCGAATTAGTCAAGATAGGAACAAACTAAGGGCATCATCGTGATCCTCTCGTCAATCCGCATCGAATGATATATATGTTGACCTCGAAAGGTCAAGGTCAAAGGTTGACCTCAGGTCACGTGACCTCGAGGTCATCATGTATATCATTCGATGCGTCTTGACGAGCTGAACACAATGAGACCATCCGCGCGGCTGTATCTTGTTCCTGTACGGAGTTATTGGCAAAAAACCTTTGGTGACCTTTGATGACGTCACATGACCTTACAGCTGCCCAAAAGCAAAACAGACCTCAAGGTAGTGAAGGTTGATCATATATGAAGTCATGTATGGTATATGGGGCCATTCCAACCCGTTTTAGTGGTAAAAACAGGGAGTTGATTTTTCCCCCATTGACTTATAATGGGGAGGTCGCGAAATTGACCTGACCTTAGGTCACTGATATCAAAATTCCGAGATATACAAATTGTAGCTACTAATGACTTCATAACATCCTGCGACTTTCAAAGGCCTCCGACATCTACTGTAGCTCTGGCACGGTGACAAAGTTGCAAAAAAGTGACTTGAGGTTGGGTCATTCAAAGTGACCTGGTGACCTGACCTTAAAAGTTAGGAGCTTCAAACTTGCACACCATGTGTAAAATTGATGAGAGAATAGTCGTACCAAATTTCGCGGCGCGTAGCGCCGCGGTTTTCCCGCTATTCGCGAAAAACCTCAGGGGGGGGGGGGCGGATATCCGCCCCCCCGTCGGTGCGCGTGTTAACGGCACAGCAGTTCGTAAGGACTCTAACCGTCCGCAGAAAGTGTGAGGGCTTAGGTGTCGATTTTCCAAACGCTGGAAACCAACAGCTACCTGCCTGAAAACAGCTCACCATCCTAAAAAGCTACTTGCCTGAAAATGACTCAAGAAACACGTTACAGGTCAATGATAATGAGGGTTAGGGAACAGGGTAATTACATTGTCAGGAAATGTGTAGATTTGAAGCAATCACGAGAATACCTACTAAAACATTTGCCACGCTGGGTCACTTTTTATGCGAGTTATTCGCAAAAAACCTAGGGGTGGGGTCTATCATAATTCATACCCCTCAATAAGTGAGAGGGCTTATCGCTGCTAGTCCAAAACACTGAAAAAAAAACTTTTATATCGTGCTATAAAGCTCAGCCGCACTCTTATTTGCTCATAGAAAAATTTCCTCTTCAAGAATAAACCCGTCTCCCGAAAAAAAACATAATACTTCTCCGTGTTGAACCGTAAGCGCTTGACTGAATGAGACTATAGAGGGCGACCGTTCGGACTTCGGGCTGTTTCCTTCTCAAAATGATGCCCCGTTCGGGCTTCAGTCGGCGTTCGATTATAAAATCTGCAATGTCTGACCTCATTCCGCGGCTCATCCTAGGCGGATCTGTAAAAAAAGCCCTGTAGATAAGAAACCAACGAGATAAGGAAACTAAAATTAGCAGCGTGGTGATCGTGGAGATAGTCTGGATTGTTTGTTTGGCAAGCTTATAGTGAAATTTCCTCGTTTTTCTGCGTGATTTGCTTAACTGCGTGGCCCCCCAGTGACGCGATTTCAGCTCCACTGGGGTGGGGGGGGCAGCGGCATCACTGGGGGGGGGGGGGCCGCGGCCCCCCCAGTTAACATGTTAGAGGAGGCCCTGGGGCTCCGAGCTCCCCGCGCGCCGCCCAGCCCGCTCCGCTCACAATATGTAATCAGCGCGAGTCGATAAACCATGCTTCTTCTGTCCTAAATCATCGATCGATTTCACAATGGCCCTCATGTTTCATGCATGGCGCCGTTTTGTTTTCACCTACTCCGAATCCATGAGAATTTAATTGTTGGCCTTCATTATTCCCGCATGGCGCAGCCTCATTGATCCGTTGGCGGTCGGCGCGCGAATCACATCGGACGCAGCCGTCACCGCCGCCCAGGCCGGAGCGGCGACTTACCAGAATCGCCGCGCGCTGGTGTCCTGGCGGGCTCCGCAGCAGCGGCCCTCGGCCGGCGACTGGGGTGGCTCGAGACCGACCGTTCCAGGACAGTGTCTTTGCCCGCAATTCACTGCCAACACCCATGCGCCGAGGTAGGTAGGTAGGCATATGCCCTGGCAGACTTTCGCAGCATGTACCCCGGGCGGACTATCGCAGTACCTATACACCCTGGGCGGACTGTCGCAGTATATATCCCGGGCGAACCGTCGCAGTATAGTAGTCGTAGTCGCAGTATACCTCGGGCAGACTGTCGCAGTAGGTATACACCCCGGGCGGACTGTCGCAGTATACACCCCGGGCAGACTGTCGCAGTATACACCCCGGGCGGACTGTCGCAGTATACACCCTGGCGGACTGTCGCAGTATATACCCTGGCAGTGTCGCACCATATACCCCGGGCCGATTGTCGCAGTATATACCCTGGGCCGATTGTCGCAGTATATACCCCGGGCGGACCGTCGCAGTACACGGTCACGGTCGGACCCTGTCCGCCACTGCCTCTGAACATGGTGGAAGCGTGCATCCCCCTCGTCTCTGGCCCCCACTGAGCACCGATCCTGCTGAGGCGCCGCGGCACTCGGCTGGCACCAGTAATCATATAACTTTTCTTCACATCTATATGGCGACCGGGGGCTGCCGAATAGCCGGGCATTCCGATCGGACGAGAGCCTGAATGCCTAGCATACTCAGCATGACTAAAGTTATAGCCATCCGCGTGTCTTTCGAGTCAGTTTCCCGGATATCGAGGGCGAACATCGAAACGTCTCGAGCACAGAGCCCAATCTAACATGTCACGAAGTAAAAGACATTTCGTGAGCCGAACAAGCATGTGTTGAAGTGCACCGGCCTGAAATGAAATAACTATTGCGACCTCAGGCAACATTAATCCTCCCTGCATCAGCCGACTGACTTTTAAATGTAGCTGATACGGTGGTCGGCCTCGGCAGCGGCCGGCGGCCGACATTTCCTGGTGTGTACCAATCTGACGTGACATTCTCATTACGGGCACTGGGACCAACACAGCCGGCCGCAGGTCACGCACATTGCACCGGCGCGTCACACCGCGTCCTGCCGTCCCCGGCTCTCAGCCCCGGTCCGGTCCGGTCCGTGTCCCGCACACTCGCTCCGGCTGCTGCGGACACTCCGGGACGCCATCCCAGGGTCCGCGACTCCCAGCCGTCCCACGGCTCCGCCGCCGGCCCCGCTCCGGGTCCCGGGAAGCGGCGCCGGCCGTCCTGACGTAACACGCCGAGACGAACAGCTCCGGGGGACGGGATCGGACCGACAGAGCGGCCGCAGCAGCTCTGCAGTGCTGGGCACGTGGGCCCAGGGCGAGCCAACGCCGAGCGGCCGAACCGGCCAGCCGACCTAACACGCGGCGCCAAACAGGAGCATGGCTGCAACGCGAGCGGTACGTCGGGTGGCCGGAGCACCGCGGAGCCCCGGCCCTGGTTGGGTACTGACCTCGTTGGAGGTGACGCTGCCCGTGTCGCCGGTCATCTTGAGGTGCTCGTCTTTGAGGAGGGCGGCCGGCGGCGTGTCGGTCAGGCCAGGGGCGCCGGCCGCCGGCACCGGCGGGTGACCGGCCACCGTGGGGGTGGCGGTACCGGCAGGGGGCGCCGGCGGCTGGCCGCCCGGCCCCGTCGGGTTCCACGGCGACGATATCTTGGCGAAATTCAGAAACGGCACCGAACTACAAACACACAGAGCGTAGCAGGGGTTAGCGAATGCGTAGCAACGACGGTTCTGCGACACCTGAGCGAGTGTCATTTCAGCGAACGACATTTGAGCGAAACATTTTCAGCGATTATCAATTTAAGCGATTGACTTTTTCAGCGATTGTCAAGTCGGCGAATTCAATCACAGCCATTATCAACGTAAGCGAGGACCAGAATCAGCGAAACCAGATTGAGCGAATATATGGTGGTCAATGGGAGACCAATTGAGCGAATACAGTTACAGCGAAACCGAACGCGACGAAAGTCAATCATTTCTACTTTTCGGAAATTCTTGCCCTTTGAATACCCGTTTGGTTTGTGTCATGCTTCAAGCTGCGCGCGACAAAATAAAAAAAATTGTTTTAAAGCTTGAAAATCTGTTATCTTGTTCTAGTAATCTTGTTGGAAACCTGAAACCACAAAAATATCAGGCCTCATTTCGATCTTGCAACGTTTCGTTTTTAATTTTTGTTTTATGTCATACGTCATGATAACACCTAACAGTTTGTAATATACCAGATGTAAAGACAAAATTAAATACAATGGATTGGCTGCCGTTCAGTAGCGGCGGAACACCTTCAATTAAGGGGGGCACCGCCGACTTTTGGTCTCATTCTCTCCATGCAACGCCCATAGGGCTAATGTTAAAATGCCAAAATCAAGGGGGGGGGGCACGGTGCCCCGGTACCCCCCTTCGTTCCGCCGCCTATGAGTAGGTACCGTCTGGACAAAACTTATTATTACATGGCTCGTATGTTAACTGCGTGTGTAATAATTTTGACTGTTGACCGGTAATTTTCACGTTTAATTTTCTTTTGAAGGATGACGTATTTTTGTTAATGATACCATGACAACGGGCAACAGTATTTTGCGCGTGCTTTAAAAAACATTAGGAATTTCGAAATTTAGGGTTTAGGGGCAAGGATCCATGGTTTAGGCATAGGTTCTTCACCTCATTCAGTTGGTGGACGTCATTGCTGAAGGATCATACGTACCTATACGTGCAGTTATGACAGAGCTGTCTCGTTTTCACTTATTTGAACCAAGTGAATTAGATGAACTCCTTTTTCACGCAGGGCTGAAGGTACGCAAAGAGTGATAGAATCGTCGGGAGACATATTCCAGGAATTTTTAACAGCTAAAGGTCTAACGCTGGAAGACCTACAGTACACTAATGCTACTCTCGACGACACTGCTAAGGAGTTTTTCCTTACTGTCAAGCGCAAAGATGGATAAAGATATAAAACGAAAAGTCTACACTCACTGAAGTACGGAATCAAACAGTTCATCATCAATCAACTAGGAAAAGCAAGTGAAGTAGGAAGTTTTCCTTTGAGTACCTACAGAGGCTTTCCAGGTCGCAATGCACTTGTCTAAGAAGGATGGGCGAGGATCAGTTGACCACAAGGAGGCGATAAGCGGAGGAGACAGAGAAAAACTGAATATTTACACGCAAAACTACTCCTCGCCAATGGCAGGCTCCAGCAGAAAGTGTTTGATGTGATGTGATGAGAAATGTGTGATGCCATGAAATACATTCATCATTGAGATTTAAACAAATTGTGTGTTATTATGCTAACACGTTTTGTCATACAGCTAAACGACAATGAATAAAGTCACTACGAATAGGTAACACAAGACGAGGTGGGCCATGTAATAAAATGAATACTGCATGAGGTAGCGGGCAATAAGTAAAAATTATTGCCCTCTGTGACGCACTGTAGCCCTCGGGTGAAGACCTCAACAAGCATTATTGCCCTCGGCTACGCCTCGGGCAATAAAGCATGTTTCGGTCTTCATCCTCGGGCTACAGTGACGTCACATCGGGCAATAATTTTTACTGTTGCCCGCTACCCCATGCAGTATTCATATAATATAACTATTCTATTTGTTAAATTCTATAAAGAGCAGGAGGTGAAATTGAACCGTTGGAATTGTTTAGAAATGTAGCATTACATTTGGAGCTCAATGTCTGAGGTCTTTGGACGTGACATTCGCCATCCAGTTCCGGATAACCATGAGAAATTCCAAAAACATTCGCGCGTATACGCTCGCAAAAAGAACGTTACAGGACGATGAAGTGTTTCGCTGAACTGGCAGTCGCTCAAATTGTAGTCGACGAAATAGATGTCGCTGAAACATAGCTTTCGCTAAAATTGATAATCGCTATATTTGATAATCGCTGAACTTGATAATAGCTGAATTGCCATTCGCTGAAAATGGTTCGCTCAAATGACGTTCGCTCAAATGACACTCGCTAAAGTCGCTCGCACCGAGCAACGACAGCAACAAAATGAACATGATCAACAGTGAGCTCAGAGATAAATATTAAGGGCAAACCTATGAACCCATGATGTCGCCATTATAGGTACAGAGCATTTCCACAAGCGAGTCCAGCAAATTATGGGACACGTATGTGAACAAGAGGTCGGCATCAGGTGGAAGACGCGACTGAAGCAAACAGTGGACTGGTGATGAAAAATAGACACATGGTTGTCAGGAATATGTCCAAATACAGACAATGTGCCAACCTTTACGTCGTCAACACACAGACACAATGCCAATTATCAACCGAATCAGCAGCGAGTGTGCTACTTGATTCGCAGAAACGCGGCGATCGCATTGTTGACAAGTCAGCCAGCTTTGTCCTAAGCCGGATGCAAATATTCCCTAAAACCTGAATCGACTGGTCGTAGCGCCTCACGGCACCAAATTTCCAATTAATTTCCCATTCTGTCTTCTGGCAGAATCCGTGCCCCTAAGGTCAATGAGGACGGTGTTGGCCAGGACTTCCATCGGCAGCCTCGCGAAGGACGGGTCCCACTCCGCCGTGGCTTCAGTACCTACATTTGGAGCGCGCCGGCGGCAGCTGGCCGGGGGCACAGAGTCTGACGGCGGACGGTATCAATAACGCCAGTCTGGCCGACCGGCTGACTGTCGAGGGACGAGCGGCGCCCGCCAGCCCTGACCTGCGGTCACCCTCTCAGGTGTCCGGCGGCTCGGGAGGCCGCTGATGTCAGCTGCTAGACCGGGCGGAGACGGTGCCGGCGGGGTCGTCTGTTATCGGAGCGCACCGAGCGCCGCCGGTCGGGCCGCAGCCGACCGCCGGCCACCGGCAGACGGGCGAGAACAGAGACGCCGAGCCGTCGCCGGGTCAGTCGCACGGAGTGCGGCAGGACGCGGCTCGCGATCCGACCCGGGGCCGGTGTCGGCCGACGCCGTCAATGCCCAGTGCCCAGTGTGCATCACAATCACCCGCACAGACACACACCGGGACGTGCGCCGAACTACACCATCGCTCCCACGGCCGGATTGGAATGAACCGGCCTGGCGCGATCCCACTCTGTCCATCCGCAGTCCGCGCACCATTAAGGCGACAAGTAATCAATTACGGCAATTAGCCGGGCTGTTAGCCAGGTGCGTGCGGCTGGTAGCCGGACCAGGCAGGCTGGCTCCGTAATGATTTAATGGCGACCCGGCCTCGGAGGTGCGCGGGTAACGGAGCCGGCCGTGGCCGACCGTCCCTCGCCGGCAGCCGTTAGAGCTAAATAAAGGTGCAATTAGAAGCGCGCCGCTCGGCGTCCGGGGACCGACGACAGGCGAGCCGGTCTCAGCGTGCCATCATCCACACACTAACGCGCCGGCTTCGGCGATAACGCGGCATCATGGACACACTGGGGCCTCAGTTTCGGGGACGCCGGCGCCCGCTCAGCTTAGCACCTCCGCGGCGTGGGTGCAGGGCGTCCCTTGGCACCTCCGCGGCGTGCGGTACACGGCGACCGTCAGTCAGAGCCGCGGCATTTCCCACAGACGGCAGCGACACTAACGGAAGGATTAGCGCTAATGGCAGCAGGAAAGCCGACACCGACAAAAACGCCCGGTTTATAAAGACGGCGGTGTGCCTGCAGCTGCCGGCGTGACACCGCAAGGGGACAGGGAGGGGCGCAGGATGGTCAGGGGAGGGATCCCGCGGCACGGTCGCCGACTCAGGGGAAGGGTAATGACCCGGAGGTACGTCTGTGACCTGATGTGCAGCGAACAGCGCTGTGCAGCCCATACACAATCTCCAGGTATCCAGACCGAACCAATCAAGTAATGACGCCACTCCCCTTCCTCAACAAGTTGTAATGAGAACTCGTACACGCTTCTTACAGTATAGGTAAGCCGGCCAGTAATGAAGGCTAATATACGCCGTCAAATAATTTGGCAGTCTGCCCCCTACCGTTGCCCAATATGACGGAGGACCGTCCGGACACAACCGGCTCGGGACTAAAAGTGGCGTGCTGCCTCCCGCGCCGGCGGTGAGGCCCGTGTGCCGCCGGCCGCGCCTGTTTACGCTGGGCGTCCATCGGCCACTCGCGACGGGTAAACAAGTGATATCACGGGCCCGAGAGGGCACCCATTACGAGGTAGCCCGGCGGCCTGCCGAGGCTGTCCGGCACCGGTCCAGTGGCCTGCCGAGTACGTCCGGCACCGCCCAGCCGCCGTCAGCGAGCGGGGGTTCGGCGGCCTGCTGGAGGCAGCCAGCGCTGCCTGCGGGAAGCACGCCAGTCGGCGGGTGCTGATCCCTCGGCTGCCGCCGGCATCGCTGCCAGCCGGATGGATCCGAGCATTTGACACCGGCTTGCCTGCCGTCCGTCCCTGATCCGAGATCAGTGGGTCACTACTAGAGATGTCAATCGGATGCCAACTTTTTGGGATACCGATACCAAACCGATACCAACTTGGTATTTGGTATTTTGAGGCTAACACATTTGGTATTTTGTTGGTATTGTGAATCCTTGCTTATGTAAAAGAGGCTGTGAATTTGGTAAAAATTTTGGCATTTCCCTGATATTACCAAATCGGTTCGGTTTCGGTATTTTCCCACGGTTCCTGTTGGTACTATATTTGTTTGGTATCGGTATCACGAGTTTCCGTAATTGACTAGTGACTACCGTCCGTCTCTGGCTGGGCACCTGACTCGGTGCCGTAT